TAACATTCATATGGAACAAAAAAGACCCCAAATTAGGAGAAGGAAAGAAATAATTAAGATCAGAGCAGAACTAAATGAAATAGAGACCTAAATAATGATACAAAATTTCAATGAAATAGTTTGTTTTTTGGGAAGATAAACAACGTAGACAAACCATTAGCTAGGCTAACTAAGAAAAAGAAGAGAGAAGACCATGATAACAAAAATTAGAAATGGAAAAGGAGACATTACAACCAATAACACAGAAATGCAAGGAATCATTAGAGACTATTATAAACAGCTATATGTCAACAAATTTGAAAATCTGGAGGAAATGACTAAATTTCTGGACACATGCAAATTACCAAGACTGAGCCAAGAAGAAGTTAAAAACCAGAACAGACCAATAACAAGCAATGACGTTGTAGCAGTAATCAGCAGTCTCCCAAAAAAGAAGAGCCCAGAACCAGATGGCTTTACTGCTGAATTCTATCAAGCATTTAAAGAGGAATTAATACCAATTCTCTTCAGACTGTTCCCCCAAATTGAAATAGAGGCCATTCTCCCAAACTCATTATATGAGGCCAGCTTCACCTTGATACCCAAGCCAGAGAAAGATACAACAACAACAACAAAAAACAAAACTACAGGTCAATATATCTAATGAACATAGAAGCAAAAATCCTCAACAAAATATTAGCAGTCAGAATACAATAACATGTCAAAAAAATGATACACCATGATCAAGTGGGATTCATCCCAGGGAGGCAGGGATCATTCAATGTATGCAACTCAATAAATGTGATATTCCACATCAACAAAATCAAGGATGAAAACCATATCGTAATAACTTCGTATAGCATACATTATACGAAGTTATACGATAACTTATAGAAACAAATTAAAAGATGATGTTTAATAATATTTGTATCCTATTAATAGTTAAACTACAGCATGGATTCTACAAAGGATTATAAAACTAATACATGAATGTTTCTAGTTTTAGGAACAGCAGGATGACAAATGCTGATACGCTACAGACATTGACACAATCTAACTGGGGGAAAAATTCACATAAATTAAAAATACAAAAAGGATAGTTCACATAAAGAACACAGTTATCACCTTGAATCATACTGAGGAAGTGGAGAAGAATAGCTGCAAAATAATTTAGAAAGCAAATGGGAAAAATTAATGTAAGATAATTAGAAGCAAGCAACAGAAAATGTCAATGACAAGCAAAGGAAAAATAAAAACCATCAGAAAATGAAACCAAGGCACTTGGCATTTGTGGGACAACCTGGAAAAATATTTGCCTCACATGGCTATGTAAACTACTCCACAGACCTGGCATTAGTGGAATGTTTAAGTGTACACCGAGTCTATACTGTATTTTCTTTTTCAAATTAGTCCATGCTAGCTGCCATGACTTCTGCTTTTCTGCACATGTTTATTGTCTTCAATAAATTTCAAGTGAAAGTGGAGATAATTTACATATTCAAATACTTCACTTCTCCAATGTATAGGAAAGTTCATTTCTGATTATATCTTTATGTTTTCTCAATTTCTCAGTTCATGAAATTAAACCCTAGTACTTTTCTTTCATATGCAGAGAGTAAAAGGTATTGGTTCTAGGTCTTTGTAATATGGGGGTTATTTGCAAAGTTTGATACAAAAAATTCTTCAACATGTCTGTCCACTGAATATATCCCAAGTGGTGCATTATATTTTCTTTCTTAAATTAGATTTTTTTCTTTTGTAATTTTAGACCCATCTAATATAAATTGTATATATTGAATATAAGTTGCATAAATATTTTAAGCAATTTAAAATTAGTATTACTATAATAATTCAAGGTTTTTCTAATTGAGTTAAAGAAATGCAATGTTAATGACTCAAAGACCACTCTATAGCTTATAAAGCACTTTCATGTAAATGATTCCCATTTGAATCACATTGCATTGATTCGTTTCTCAGAATTGTGGTGTTACAAGGCAAAATTCTATGATGATACTTTAAATAATCTGCAGCATTCCTCTGAATCTAAATTTAAAATTAGGATAATGAGTAATACCTATCTCGTAGTGTCATTGTAAGGTTCGAATAAATATTAAATGACACAATATAGGTAAAAGATTTAGTGCAATGCCAGGTACATGAAAAGAACTAGATAAATGTTAACTCTTACAATTTAATTAGAAGCAGCAGACAATAATTGATATAATATACAAGACATTTCACAAATGTTAATTATTGTTAACTTATTTAATTCCAAATTATTCTGCCCTCATGGATCACAACTAATTTACTGCCTAAATGCCAATTTTAGAGGCAAAAATACCTTGAGATATTCATAATTTTAACTAATAATTCTTATTCCATTTATATGGATAGCAATTATCCAAAGTTTGAATTATCTACAGGTAGAGAATCCAATATCTAAAAGCACACTGATTTATCAATTCAGTAATCAAAGCAGGTCACCTTTTATCGTCATGACTCAAATTCTGCTGACCAGCAAGGCAGCAATGAGGAGTCTATTTGATGCAGTTTTTTTTTTACCACAGCATATGTTCACTTTAAAAATGAATTTCTTTATTTTTTTATTCATTTTTTTTCTAATTATAATTTAATATGACAATCACAATTTTATTTCAGGAATGCAGAAGGTACCAACTGTTGATTGGAAGAGTTCCAGTACCACAGCATATGTTCACTTTAAAAATGAATTTCTTTATTTTTTTATTCATTTTTTTTCTAATTATAATTTAATACGACAATCACAATTTTATTTCAGGAATGCAGAAGGTACCAACTGTTGATTGGAAGAGTTCCAGTTTATATTTTCCTCTTAAAGGTAAATTACACAAAACAAATCATTTGTCAAATTAAAGGCCTATATCATTTGAGAAAAAAGAATGAAAACACCAGAGCTTACTGTTTACTTAAAAACTAAGTATTTGAATAAAATTCTTCTATCATTAGATATGCAGTACAAAATTAGTCAATGAGGTAAATTAACAGAGATGCTTACATGCTTAATCTACATGCTTAATTTTTTACTGGAAAGAAAAATCAGATACCCAGGGAAAAAAACTTCATTTCAATAGGTAAGTAAAATGAGGAAAAATGATTTTGTTAAAAAAACTTTTGTTTTTATTGAAAAGGAAAATTAAACACCTAAAAGAAGATCAGAATAGCCAGGAAATTTTTCTGCACCAATAATTTAATTAATTTTTCCCCAACACTATGCTTTTATCAATAAAAACAGATATACAGATTTGCTTAGAAAACATGTTTACTAATGATTTATAAATACATGTCACATATACTTACTAGAGTACATATTTCATATATGAATACTCTATACATATACAATATAAAAAATTTATATTGTCAATATAAATTTATAGTTGTAAATAATAAGTGCAATTTTAATTTAATAGGATAAAGAAAAGTGACATTTAGTTTACTTACCCAGAATGAACAGGGCTTGAGACAAGATTGACATTGTCCAAGGTGTCTGCAGCCCAGCTATAATGTCTAAGAGAATCCGAATCAAATTCCCTTGTAAATGTTAGATGCTGAAAAATAAAATGGTATATAATTACATCAACAACTCACACAAGACACTGGTTTCTCTTCACCTACAAAATATATCTCTATTTCTCTATAAGTCCAGATAATCTAACATTCAAAATAAATAACTTGAATTCTCCTCTACAGGTCTTTATTAAAGTTTGTGTACAAGAACATTAAAAGATAAAGTCTATTGATATATTATTTCAATCTCTTAAGAAAGCACCCCGAGTAGTTGTCATGGCAAAAGGAATATCACAGAACTACTTCAAACTATAATTTTAAACACTCAACACATCTCCAAATTAATCCTACAACAACTGTAAACATTTTTCCCAATTCTCAAAATAAAAGCAATTCAGTCTTGATGACTTCTGATTCCAAGTGGGGCACAGTAACTAAAGCAGTTTAGTGCTTCTGAGAGTAAACCAGACAAAATACAGAAATCATTTCTGAATACAGCAGAGAGCAGCTGGGGCACTGAGAACTAAGAGAACTATACTCTGGAGAGGGAAACATCTTGAAGAGTTGAGCTAACTTTCTGTTGCCATTTTTAACCTGGGGGACATTTGTAAGTTAACAGTGCTGACAGAATTTGGGCTTTGCACCTACAGTGACCACTGCTGGGGAATGGAAAAAACAGGAGAGTTTTGGTGGAGACCTGGGTAACTTCAAGCATGCTATGGTTTTCCATTAAGAACATTTGCTGAATTCTGGGGCTGTGTAGTACAGGAAGCTAAACACCTAACCAGAAAAATCTCTGAAAAACACAATAGAGCTTTTTGGCAGTTTCATGAGAAAATGATTTAAGACTTTAGAACTTGTAATGCAAAAGGTTATAGCAGGATGTTAAAAAGATGCTGGAGAGCCAGGGACAAACCAGAGATAGTCTGAGCTTCATTTCAGCAAAATTTTGATTAGATTAAAATGATTGTCCACTACTCGACTTGCCTAGCAGAGGGAGGATGAACCTTCTCTGTAGTAATACATCATATATCACCATTGGGTATGTCTACAATTTTTCATACACTATGTCTAGCATAAGATGAAAAACTGCCAAGCATGACCAGAGCACATAAACAAAAACAGAAAATCAAAACAAAACCAGGTAGACACTATAAACAGACTTCTAGGTCATCTGGATTTTGAGGTAAGCTAACAAGAACTTGACAATAACTATGATTAATATGTTTAAGAAAATAGCAACCACTGGAAGCCCCTGGGCTCATAGACAACTATCCAGACCAGTGAAGGAGCCAGCCATGGGCAACATGATAGAAAACAAAGGGAATTTTCATAGTGAAAATCAAGGAAGACCCCAGAGGGCAACTGTGCAGTGGACCTCCAAGGAAGTTGCACCCCTCTCCCTCCCCCTCCCCCCAACACCGCAACATCTTAGAATGTTTTAAAAAAAAATTCAGTATGAAGATCATTCTAAGCAAGCGAAGTCTGAGAAACTGTGACAGCAATGAGGATCCTATGAGACAGCAATGAGACAGGACAATCAATGTAATAAGGGTATACTGGGTGAGATCCTAAAACAAAAACAGGCATTAGATAAAAACTATGGAAATCTGAATAAAGTATGGACTTTACTTCATAGGCATGTATCAGTGTCTGTTCATTAATTGTAACAAATGTACCACAACAGTGAAGATGTTCATCATGGGGGAAACTGAGTGTGGGGGATATGGGAATTCTCTGTACTATCTTCACAATTTGTCTATAACTCCAAAACTGCTCAAAAATAAAAGGCTTATTCTAAAAAAAAATAGGGGAAATATAAAGGAAATAAATTAAAATATAAAGAAAATAAATTAACAGAACACTGGAATATGCATAAGAATCAAACGAACATTTGTTCAGTTCTAAATACAATGTTGTTTCTTCAGTTAGACACAATAGAAAACAGGGTGAGTAAATTGTAACCATAAATGGAAAAATACAAAAGAATAGGTGAAAAAGAATAAAATATACAGAAAATAGTCTGAGACGTGTGACACACAGTGAAAGGTTTTAACATAGGGATAATTAGACTCTCAGAAACAGAAGAGAAGAGAATAAGGGAGAAGCTATATCTGAAAAGAGAATGGCTAAGAATGCTCCAAATCTGATGAAAGGTATCATCCCATATACCTTTCATCAAACCCAAAACAAAACCAAACAAATCTTAATTTTTATCCTGCTAAAAATCTGCTTCATATTGAAATGCCAGTAAAATGACAATCAAGTGTTTAAAAATACAGACACACACACACACACACAAAGGACAAACAGAATGAGAAAAGACATCAGCAGAAAAGCAGGAGGATTGGTTGAAATTCTCTTTAAAACACGAGTTGATCTCCACAATTGTTCCCCTCACTGATTGATTTATCAGTTGCCAAATAATGACATCCCACCATTACCACCACCACCACCCTGGCAGAAGACTCAAGGCATAGAGACTCGAGGCAGAAGACTACCAGGTTAGAGGTGTCATACTGAAAATGAGGATTAATTGCTACTTAAAATGACAATTAATTGCAAGTTTATACACTGATCGTTTAGACCCCCAGCCTTCTTCCTTTACTTGTCTCCCAGGCACAGACAGCTAGGGACAGAGCCTCTAGGCAGAAAATGGGAAGTCTCTGAGGATTCTGACCTGCCCATTAGAATTTCCCAGTGAAATGTCCCAGGCTTATTACTTTAGTGAAAATCATGGATGACAAGCTCTACACCATGCAAAGAGCTTCCAGTGAGCTTATTAGGGAGCAGACAGCTAAGTGCCATTAGAGAAAAGCATCTAATATGAAAAACAATAAGCAGCAGAACAAAAGCAAATTGGAGGAAACTGGCTTTTCAGAAAGAAGAAAACTTAAAATTTTTATTAATATCCAGAGAGAAATGAAATATTTTTACACCTACGAAACAACAGAATGCTTAACAAAAAAAAAGAGAAACATTTAGAGAAACTCTTAGAAAGAACTCTTAGAAAGTAACAAATATAATAGGATTAAAGTTGAAAAAGAACACACCTAGAAATTAGAGGGAAACTTTTAAAAATAGAAAACAAGAGAGAAAATATAAGAAAGCAAAGGGATTAGTTCAAGAGTTGAGTCCCACCCCCCCAAAACAGTTATAGAAATAGAAAACAGTGAAATAAAAGAGAAGAAATCAAGAGAATTTAAGAAATTTTCCCGGAGCTGAAGACATGAGTTCTCACAGTAAAAGCACCCACTGAGTGACCAGCACTACGGATGCATGTAGACCCCACTATTGCACATCAAGAAATTTCATAACTTGGAGACAAAAAAAGATCCTACACAGAGAGAGAAGAAAAATCATCACAGATGGAAGACTTCTAACAGACTCCTAACAGCAGAAATTGAAGGTACAGGCAATGGAGCAATTCCTTCAATGTTCTGAGAGGAAATGATTTTCAACTTGGAATTCTATAATCAGCCAAACGAAAAAACAAGTGTGAAAATGGAAATATTTTCAAATATATAAAACCTCGAAAAATATATTTCTTATGCACTCTTTAAGGAAACTACTGGAAGATGTACTTCACCAAAACAGACTAAACCAAGAAAATGGAAGGCATGGAATCCAACATGATAGAAAACAAAGGGAACTTTCATAGTGAAAATCAAGGAAGACCCCAGAGGGCAACTGTGCAGTGGACCTCCAAGGAAGTGACAAGAAATCTCTGGGAGAGACAAGTTAAGTAGATGAGATTGACAGAACACCTAATGGGTGTGAACACACTGACAAGAGACTTGCACAACTGGGGGACAGTTTGTGGGCTGGACTAGTGATATGTGCAGAGAACACCAAGCAAGTGAAAAAACTATAGGGAAAATAAAATATTGTGCCGACAAGGAAAAGCAATCATCCTATAATCAATTATGTTTCAATTATAAAAATAAATTTAAAAAATAAGGCAATTCAACTTAACCTGTGGTTTTATAGATAGATACTGAATTGGTAGCTTTATTTCCAAGCCACCTGTCTCTAAGTACTTATTTCTGCAGAATAGAGTTTACTTAAACTGAAATGTAAAATTTCAACTATTTATTTATTTTAATAAACAATAGGAATTTCAAAATGGCCTGACATGCTACTGTGCACGGCACCACAGTACTAACAACAAGCTTGACCTCCATTTCGTGACTGAATAGACATTTCAAATGATAAATAGGACGTCACATATGATGATGGTTAAAGATGAACCAGACCTGGTTCTTAAGTTTCCTACAGCAAGGAGGGCTGTTCCAGGGTTTAATGGAAAAGCTTGGCTTTGAAACTGAGTCACAGACTTGGATTTGGAAATTGCCTTTGCCACTTGTTAATGGAGAACACTCTTGCTCGCTCCTGAGTTTTCCATTTTGGAAAGGCAACTCAATTGTGTAACTGTGGGCCTCTCCCTGACCCTTTGAAGTAAACTTTAAGTAAACTCTATTCACTTTGGCCCTGAAAATGTAGAGTGATTTTTCTGAGTGGTAGATTTGGGAAAGCTGAGCTGAGAAGGCGCTGCTCAGACCCAGTTCTCTTTCTCTTGGGCCTAAGCATGGTCACAGAGAAGAGGCATCCTCCTGTGCTTCCCAAAGCCTGCCTCTTGTGAGGGGTATTTCTGCCCTGGACCGGCACTGCTGGTCACTGGGTTAGGGGAGTCTGCTAACTTTAGGGGTTCAGCGAGGTTGGCTCAGACACTAAGCCAGTCCTCAACCCGACCTACATCAGGAATAAAGGAGATATTTTGCCTTTGACCTTTCCTTAGCCTTACTTATTAAAAGCCCTTTTGGAGAAGCCCCAATATCATTTACTGGTTTTGTGATCCTTAGCATGTTTCTCAATGTTTCTAGTCTCAATTTCCTTATTTTCATGTTGGGGATTAATTGATACGGACATTAAAATGTATGTATAGGGCCAGCCCTGTGGCTCACTTGGGAGAGTGCGGTGCTGGTAGCGCTCAGGCTGTGGGTTCGGATCCTATATAGGGATGGACGGTGTGCTCACTGGC